GGATAAAATACTCATTATTGTTTGAGATTATCATTTGTTGAAACTAATATCTGTTTTACAATACTTTTGTTTTGATAACAGGAGGGTTGTTCAATATAGGCTCCTCATAAATGTTTTTTTGTGTGGGTAAAATACTCATTACTGTTTGAAGATATTAGTATCGGGTAAACTATTCAGTTTACATTGTTTTTTTTCATAATGATTTTGGTTTCCTGACTATAAGTAAAAAGTTTGAAACGTCAATTGCGATACATAAACCTAAGAAAAATAAACTAAACATTAATTATAAGTATAATTAATTTGATCTTTGAATTGTAGTCACTTTTCTTTTTATCCTCGAACAAATTGTAGTCACTATGTACAAAGAAAAGATCTTCCGCAATTTCTTATACTTTTTTAGTCACTAAACTGTACTACTAGTCTACTATCAACGACACTAATAGTCTAATACTGTTAGAATATCGGGACTTTTATCGGTTCGGACAAATCACTTTCACACGTAATACATGGAAAGATGCAAATGACGAGTTTGATTCCCTTACGTCATGCTGCACCTAGAGTGAAGAAGGTAAATTTAGTTTTCGTGTATTTAATTTTAATAACTTATAGTTACTTATAAGAAAAGTGAACATCAAGTGTACAAGTTACGAGTGCAAATGGATGTTTACTTAGAGGAAAATACGATAAAATAAAACCAAACAACTTACTTGTAAAAAATTACATGTCATGAAATATGAACCATCAACTACATTTTACCATTTGACATTTTTTTATAAAGATAGAAAAGTGCATTGCTCTTTTGATTATGTTTGACCAGCAATATTGCTTATGTTTAAAGTGCATTGATTAAACAAAGTATGAATTTATAATGCTTGACCAGCAATAAGTTGACATGTGGAGCTGACGATGAACCGACACGACGCTAACTAGGCGCCACACTAGACATGGCTCTTCTAGTCACTACCACGTCACCCTCTCCTTTTTAAGAAATAAATAACCCACGTCACCTTTCTTTTTTCATTGGTTTTAGTTATTTTTCATTACTCATCTAACTTTTTTTGTGTATGTATATACAGTCACATATCCTTGGAGTAGTATATCATTCACATGTGTGATAGTGGCTTTTTTCTTTGAAAACCAAATTTCAGAGTAGATATAATTTCTATCCGTTGATCGTCGTCGGTTTTATAAACGCAAAGGGTATAAATGAGTAGCTAAATCATTCGAAATTAGTATATAACATATACTCTAAAAAGTATTATCGATAATTAAACGAGCTATAATAAATGCGTAAAATCTCTAAAACCCCATCTTCCAACATAGAAAATTAAATATTGGAATTGATGATTGTGCAGATCTCAGTCCTATAAACAAAAAATATCAAAGCTTTGTAACATTATCCACAGGACTTTTGTTGTATGGATTACGGGTCAAATTTCGTCTGACGTAACCCAACTAACCTGATCCATAGAATGAATTATAATTAATTCGCTAAAAATTTAGAAAACATTGTTTAGTTATTAGTATTAAATTGTGTGAAAAGAGCATGGACTTTGTCACTCTGTCTCAATAGTAGGAATAGGATAATCCAAATTAAATCCGAAACAAACGCAGGTGCAACATTTGACCAGACAGAAAAGATATGGACATGTGGCACACAGTGGGACACACTGATGGGTTTGGTAAATGACAGACCCACCGATTTATTCAGAAGGTCTCACATTCGTGGCTCGTGGGTTGCGATGTCATGTCCCTATGATAATAAGGAATAATTGAAGTTATTGACGAAAAATACCTCTGAGCAAATGAATATCGATCGTACGTGATTACAAGTGTTCGATCGATGTGTTTTTTTGGTCCCATTACTACCTTAAGCAGGTACTATTAACTAATTTTGGGTCACTGTTATATAACTGCAAATTAATTGCAACTCCGTGGAAATTTTAGAAAAAACGGAAATAAAGTAGGTTCCAAAACCATTACTCCACCACCTACACAATAAATAATAATCAGACATTACAAAAAAAAAAATTATACTATATAATATTTTTCTATTATGCACCAGTTTAAATTCAAATGTCTCATGCATGTTTGTAGATATTTACTTTGATTGTGCCAAATAGTTCTAATGGTTGCGATCATATAAACTCTTTTTTTTTCTATCATGCTTTCAGTTTTCATTTATTCAGTCTGCTCAGCAGATTTGGATACTTGTAATAATTATTGTCAGAATAATAAGAATAATAAATCCCATGTTAATAGAAACTCATTGGACAGTAGAAGCTAGGATCATTAAAGTGTGCATATGCATGTATGAATGTTAGTTGGTAGTTATAAGTTTGGTGGGTTTCTCACTTTCTTGAAAGTTAAACTATTAAAGATTACTCATTTGACCCTTTCTTTAATTTATAGTTTACCATTTTCCTCTCATTATATTTGCTTCCTTTTTCAATTTGATTTTGTATATCCATGCACTTTTTGACTTCAGCCTTTCGGTAAGGATAAAAAAGCATACATTCTTTAAATTTAGATTTTTTGAATTTCACAAAAATGTCAGTTTAAATTTTTATTTATGTTTAAAAAATGTTTTTAAATTTTTTCAATACAAAAGATTGACTTATATGAATTGCTTTAGTGTATTAGTTTAAAATAAAAGTGAATTTAGTGTATAAATAAAGAATAAAACAGAATTTTTAATAAAAAGATAGTACGAAAAAGTTCTAATAATTTTTTTATGAAACTGAAAAGTAGGAAAAACAAGGAATTATTTGGTGAATAACCAAGATAAAATTTATTATTTACAAACTAACCAATTTCTCTCTCTATCTCTTTCTATCTCTCTCTCTAAAAATTGGTTAGTTTGTAGATTGTACTCTTTTTTTTGTTATTAATCAAATTCTCCCAGAAAACAAAGTTAAGAAAATGAAAACTAAAAAAAAAAAGAATTAAGTAATATAAACTACTTCAATACTTTGGCACTCAGATACAGAGAGAGACAACAGTGAATGTACGAGGTATGAAAATCACATTCGACCGGATGTATTATATTGATTGATTTTTAGAAAACGAAACAACATGCATAACTAATATCTAAATTGAGAATTGAGAAATATCTAACATATTAAACCAAACTAGTTTTTGTCTTCATTTTTTGATTCAAATGTTTTCATAAACTAAGTTATAAATATAACTTGATTGAGGTTTGTGGCTTAGTGGTTTGTATTAGTAATATGCCGTGTTATATAATTTGGTAATATGTATGTATGAGTTGTATACGAAAAAAAAAAAGATACTAGTTGGACATAATAATTATGGATTGATTTTGGATTTTGTTTTTTTTTTATATTTCCATTTGATTATTAGTTTATTACAACAATTAATATACCGTAGAGTAAAGACATGGTAACTACGTCAAAATACGATTCGAGTGATCATGGTCATGCGTGATTAACCAATGCGAGGACTTTAACCCAATAAAAAAACCAATAATTTTGTATTCTGACTTTAAATTGAAAAAAAAAAACCAATAATTCACTTTCAGATTAACTGATAATTGATGTTAAGTTTCGTCCATACGTTTCCGATGCCAATAATTTCGTTCTATTTGAATTGGGATCAATTCGTTATGACAATATGAGTATGAAAGGGGTTCCTGGTTTGGGCCAAACGAAGAACGTAAAAATGCGAACAAAGTCGTTGTAAATTCCCACGTTTGTCACGGACAAGATCAAACCGGTGGGTCCGGTACGACAAATGCTGGATCTCTAACGCATGTGATCACAAAAATTTCTGCTTGCAATTAACGGTAATCAAAATAAAAATTATATACGTAAAGTCAAAGCATGTCAAAACCGGTTAAACACAATTTACATTTAATCAAAAACTTTTTAACAAGGGAAAATGATTAAGCCGTGAGAAAAAGGTTAATCGATTCATATAATCAAATTATAAATGTACGTCTATCTCGATTGGACCATGTAGATAGATGGACAACAAGAACAACAACAAAAAGGATCGGAAAAGAAAGATAAAATTAGTGATTAGCGGGAGAAGAAACTAGTGATTAGTTAATACCGTTATAGTGGTCCATCTGATTGGTCAGAGTGGTAAAGACAGGACAATAACTCATGTCCCCAAAATCTTTCAAGATTTTACATCCAATAGGCGAAACAGAGCACGAAAAATAAATGTAATTTTCATTGATCCAAGTCATCTCATTATGTGTATTAACCAACATTTTTAAAAGAGTATATCTAATATTTAGTATACGTATACAAATATTCCACCTACTGTGCTTAAAAAATTAGATTACATATTTATCGTTTTATACAAAAGGAATACTATTGTTCTATAAAATAAAATTACATATGAGTGGTGGTGTAATGGTTTTGAAAGTGAATAATTCAAAATTGTTCAACTCCATCTGCAGGAACAATGCAGTTTACACTTTAGCTGTGATATTTATTACTAACGTTTGGTAGCACATAAAAAATTACGAATTAAAATTACGAAACTTCCATAGTTTATTTACTTGAAGATTAAAAATTAAGAACCATAATCGTTAATTTACACTTTATAATTTTTTCGCTGTAAATTTTTAATTTTTTTTTCTCATAATCTATAGGTTTTGTTTTTTTTAATAATTAGATATTCTGTTTGTTCTGCTAAGTTTTTTTTGTTTGTTCTGCTAAGTTATTAAAACCATTATTAACTATCACATTCATTTGTCAGCCAATCAAAAATGTTCGACCAACATGACTTTCTTTCATTAGTTTATACTATTTTTTTTAATATATTTTTGGTTTGCCGCTTAGAAAAAGTTTCGGGGTGTGGGGGTAAAAAACCAATACAGTAAGTTATATAGAAATAAAATAACTGTGGAATATTTTGTCGTTTCCGTAAATATACATAGACAATCCCGTATATTAAAAAAATAGATTCGTATTTATTTGTTATCTTATTAATTAAAAATAAAATAAAATTTAGGTAAAGGGTTTACATTTGGGGTTTTGCTATTTGCTACTGTTTCTCTCTTCCTTTATAAAACGGCTTCCGTCGTCAATGGCGTGAACCTAAAACCTCCTCTTCTCTCTTTTCCATTTTCACTCTCTCTCTCTCTCTCCCTCTCCTCTTCACTCTTTCTCCATCGTTTTCACGCTTTTCTCGCCGTCCTTTATCCTTATCCGATAGACCCATCAAAAACCCAGAATACAAATAAACTATAAAAAACACTTTCTTTCTTCTATTGAAGAGATCGAAAAACCCAGAGCCGCCGGTTACGCTCAGGTCTCTCTTTCACTCCCTCTCTCTCTCCCTCTCTGTTCTCTGATTCTCTGCTCTTTAGGTTTGATACAGAAGAAAATGCAAGAGCTTTTGCTCCAAAAATCCTTCCTTTTTGAATACTGATTTTGAAACAATTTGTTCATCCTCTGCGATTGAGTTGTTTGCTTGGATGAATGAGATGTTAAATTTAGAGAAAAAACCCCAAATTATCTCTTAAAGCATTTCAAAAAGCTTCGCGCTTTCATACTCTCTGTTACTCTCTGTAACCACTTGCTTCTAGATTGTTGACTATGAAACAGATAAATTTCTCCCAAGACTGATTTGGTTTTTACTTTTTGGTTGGTGATTTCTGTGCAGGATTATAAGTTGAATTTTTGACTCGATTAAAAAAAAAAAAACAGAAGGAAGAAGATGAAGTATGTGCTTGTAACCGGAGGAGTTGTTAGTGGATTAGGCAAAGGAGTAACAGCAAGTAGTATCGGTGTTCTCCTTAAAGCTTGTGGTCTTCGAATTACTTCAATTAAAATCGGTAAATTTTTTCTACTTTTCTCTTTGTCTCTCTGGTTGAAGTCAAATGATGTTTTTGCTTACGTGGATCACTCAAATCTCCAGATCCTTATCTAAACACTGATGCTGGAACCATGTCACCATTTGAGCACGGTGAAGTGTTTGTCTTGGACGATGGTGGTGAGGTATATAAATAAAAATGACTTTTTTTTATACAAACATTTTAAAATCTTAAAAGACTACAACTTTATAAGAACTTTTGAATCTTTTTTTCTTTGATGTGATTTGGGTAAAAAAAGGTGGATCTTGATCTTGGAAACTACGAGAGGTTCTTAGATATCAAATTAACCAGAGACAATAACATCACCACAGGGAAAATTTACCAGGTTAAAAGATCTCGATCTCAACTAATTAGAAATTGATTGATGATGATTTAGTTAGGTTTACTAAAATCTTCTTGTCTTTGTCACAACAGCATGTAATTTCTAAAGAAAGAAAAGGAGATTATTTGGGAAAGACTGTTCAGGTTAATAATTAAGCTTCCCCCACCTATATTCTCTTTTCCTCATTTCATGTTTTAGTGTTGGTTTTCTTGTAGCACTTAAAAAAGCTGTTTTGGTGTTGTAATGATTCTAAGGTTGTTCCTCATGTTACTGATGCAATTCAAGACTGGATAGAGAGAGTTGCTGCTATTCCTGTTGATGGAAAGGAAGGTCCTGCTGATGTTTGCGTCATCGAGTTAGGAGGAACTATAGGTTACACAAAAAAAATTGTTATCTTTTGTTTTGGTTCTCTCATCTTTGCTTCTTCTGTATAAACAGAGATTCTTTATGTTTGCAGGGGATATCGAATCCGCGCCATTTATCGAGGCTCTTGGCCAATTCTCTTACCGTGTTGGTAAGAATCATTTTCCTCATTAAGTATTGCATCTTTTGAGTATCCAAAAGCAAATAAAAAATATGTTTGGGAAGTTTTGGATATGATTAAATTCACTAGTGCATCTTTGGTTGGTGGTTGAACTTTAGGCCCAGGGAATTTCTGTCTGGTCCACGTCAGCCTCGTGCCTGTGTTAAATGTTGTTGGTGAACAGGTAGATAGATTTTCCTGAAATGAAGCAGCCATGGTGTGACAGCATTTGGCTATGTATGTCTAAATAAACTTCATTTGTGTTCTTTCAGAAAACTAAGCCGACACAGCATAGCGTCAGGGGGCTACGAGGCTTGGGTTTGATACCGGATATCTTAGCTTGTCGGAGCACAAAGGTTTGGTTTTGCTTGCGTCTCCATCTTTGACTCTAAGCCTGTTTTATCTGGAAGTCACAGTCTCTTGGTGTGTTATCTTCTTGATTTTGATTTAATAAGCCTCAAACTTTTTTTCTTCATTCAGGCACTTGAAGAGAATGTGAAAGAAAAGCTAGCTCAATTTTGCCATGTCCCGGTATAAGATACTGCCTTTTTTTTTTCACTCGTTGATATGTTCTATACTTTAAATCTCGGTTTATTTACCGGCTCATGGTTCTTGTTTTCAGCTTGAGTATATCTTCACTCTCTATGATGTTCCCAACATTTGGCACATCCCTCTGTTGCTTAAGGTACCTTTTACTGAATCTAAACTTGTAGTCGCTACTTCAGTTGTTAGAATCATCAAGAAAACAAAGCTCAATGCGTATACTCCCTTGAACGAACAGGATCAGAAGGCTCACCTAGCAATCTCGAAAGTTCTCAATCTTGCTAGGTATGTTTTATATATCTTGTTTTGTCCTTTCGTTTTCTTGGATTTAGGACTCAAATGGATTGGAAGTGATCTCTGTTATTTCTGAAACAGTGTTGTTAAAGAACCTTCTCTAGAGGAATGGACTTCAAGAGCCGAATTATGCGACAACTTACATGTGCCGGTGTGTCTCAGCTTTTGAATAACTCGTTATAAAACCATAATCTCAATGTCTCTATCTCTTAACGCACCAAAATCAAATTTACAGGTGAGAATCGCTGTTGTGGGGAAATATACAGGACTCTCTGATGCATATCTCTCTGTCTTGAAGGTATAACTTTCACCCCACATCATAGGATAGTGTCTGGATTAGATTTGTTTGCCCTCGGTTCTCACATTTTGACAACTTGTACAGGCTCTCTTACATGCTTCTGTCGCTTGTCGCAAGAAGCTAGTAGTTGATTGGGTTCCAGCTTGTGATCTCGAAAAGGAAACTGAGAAACAGGTCCGTGATATGTTAATTACAGTACACATGTATGATGCCGTTACTTCTTCACAAGTCTTTAAACTAGAATCTTGTTTTTTTTTACTGTTTAAGCAGAATCCAGATGCGTATAAAGCTGCTTGGAAGTTGCTGAAGGTATGGAATGTTTTGCCCATGTTTATACAACTTTCAATCATCAAGAAACCTTTGTGTTTTTTTTTCGGCTCATCTCTGTTTAATGTTATCTTCAGGGTGTAGATGGGATTCTTGTACCTGGAGGTTTTGGTGATAGAGGAGTGGAAGGAAAGATTCTTGCTGCGAAGTATGCGCGCGAAAGCAAGATCCCTTTCCTCGGTATTTGTCTCGGGATGCAAGTCGCTGTCATCGAGTTCGCGAGATCAGTTCTCTGCTTGCAAGACGCAAACAGCACAGAATTTAAACCTGATACTAAACATCCATGCATCGTATTCATGCCTGAGGTTCTTAATTCTCCTGCTCTTTACTTTGAAAATGTAGCTTCGTTACTGCCTTTAGATCTCAATTTGCTTTCTTGCTCGGTGGGTTTTAGGGTTCAAGAACTCATATGGGAGGCACTATGCGACTAGGATCAAGAAAATCCATCTTCAATGTCAAAGACAGCAAATCCGCAAAACTGTAAGAATCATTGATATATATATACAGTTAACTCCGTTGGTTCTTTGGAATGCTATAGATTTACTTAGGATGATGATGGTTCTGTCCACTTGGTTTTTACAGCTACGGTAACAAAAGCTTTGTCGATGAGAGGCATCGCCATAGATACGAGGTATAGATTTGTATACAGATTCTTGAATATCTTTCAGCTAAAATGAAAGAAAATCTTGATATAAACACAAACAATTCTTGCAGGTGAATCCGGATATGGTTGAACGGCTAGAGAAAGCTGGTCTCTCTTTTGCTGCGAAAGATGAAACTGGCAAACGCATGGAGGTCTGTTTTTGATCTTTTAAACTATTTGTCTCAAATTCAAATCCATTACTTGCAAATGAACTAATCTTAATGAATATCAAATTTACAGATTGTTGAACTACCAAACCATCCTTTCTTCATCGGTGCTCAATTCCATCCAGAGTACAAATCCAGACCAGGGAAAGCTTCTCCTCTGTTCTTAGGTACGAACTCATTTCGCCATTAGTCCAAAAAGATCCAAACTTTAACATTCTCTCTGTTCTGTTGAACCAGCACAAGTCTTCTAAGCAAATCTTTCTTTCTTATTTTGTTGCAGGACTCATTGCAGCATCATCTGGTGAGCTAGACACAGTCTTGAATCCAGCTTCTGCTCATCAACCTCTGGTTAGTAACGGTCCCAAAAACGTTTTCGCCAATGGAACCTCCAAGAAATCTCCCAATGGCTTGGCTGATGTAAGGTATAATAACGGATACTGCAACGGCCTCTACACTAGATAGCTGCAGCTGCAGACTCTTCTCCTTTTCTCTATCTCTCTCCATTAGCATTGCTTCATTTTGGATTTAGTTTGAAATTTGGTTTGCATTTTTCTTTTTTTTTTTATTGTTATTATAAACTTAGGATCTTTCCCTCTGTACATATGATTCAAGCTTTTTGTCAGGCTTTTAGACTCTTTAAAACAGAATATTTCTTCTGTGTGAAGACTCTAGAAACGTCTGAAAATTGCGGTTGATCACCCTGGTTTGTTGTTTTTTTTATTCCATCAAAAGGGATGTCATATGATCGTATGTACCATTGGAACATTTTGTATTTTGAATGTGAAAGAAGCATCTGATGAATAAAACTCAAAACAAAATTTACCGTTCTTCTTTCTAATTTAAACTAAATTTTGAAAGTATGAAGAGTTATTAGAGCATTTCTGTTGGGAATATTTGAATGGTGTTTTTTATATCAAGACCAATAAGAAAAAATTAAAAAGGGAAAAGAAAAAATGAGAATGGACTTTAATTTTAAAAACTTCCAAAGCCCATGAGAGACGTTTGTGACATGTTTTTGTCTTTTTCTTATAACTTAAAAATTTGTTAATACAAATTATATTAGAAATTTTAATATTAGATTAATAAGAAATTTGAAAAGGTATCTCATCGATGAAGATGATCTTATTACAGTGTGTATAATATGCGGTTGGATTAAATGATATCTCATTTTCTTTCAATTGCAGGTAGGTAGACTCGAATTAACGTGTTTATTATTTTGTTATAAGTTTGCTCATATAGAAAATTTGTGAAAATATATAAGATTTTTTTCACATTAATGTATATAAATTATTAGAAAATTTATGTTCAGAATATTTGAATGGACTTTTTTTTTATATTAAGATAAAACAGAAAAAATTAAAAAAGAAAAAAGAGAAATGAGAATCGACTTTAATTATAATTATAAAACTTTGAAATCTCTGGAGAGACTTATGACATATTTTGAATTTTTTTCTTACAATATAAAATTTTGTTAATACAATCATAAAATTTTGTTAATACAACTAAATTATGTAATTTATTTAATATTAACTTAATTAAAAATTAAAAAAATCTATTGATGAAAATGAACTTATTATTATTATTGTGTGTATAATACGCGGTTGGATCAAAAATATTTCATTTTCTTTCTATTCTGAGAAGGTGGAGTCAAACTATTATCGTGTTCATTCTTTTATGAAAAATTTATACATATGGAAAATTTGCAAAAAATTCATGAAAAATTCGCAAAAATAGATAAGAATTTCTCCAAATTAATGTATGTAAATTAAGTTCCTATAAATGAAGAGTTGCTTGAAAACGTATGTTCGTGACTATTGGTGGTTAATAAAAAGACCAACGAGAAGACTCTTTGGTTTAACTCATAATCTCTCTTCATATCAAACCTCTTTTCTCATCTTCAAGGTAAAAAAAATTCCTTTGATCTTCCTTCAAGGTTTCAAAATTCTTGCATCTCTTTATCTTTAACTCTATGTATGGTCTGTGTGTTCTTCAGAGCTACGAGAAATGTACAATTTTGCTGAGCTTGAAACAGGGGGAAGAAGAGTCAAATGTCCACGATGTCACGCCCCATTCACACCTCATCTCGGTATATAAATAAATTTCTGTTTCTTTTTCTCTTTCGTTAGAATAATGTTTATTTTTTTTTCGAGCTATTAAGATAGTTGATTTGTTTGTTACAGGACATTTGGTTACATCTAGGTTTCATTGTGAAAACTGCAAAGGTAATTTATCTGTTGGAAGAAGCATCACAGGAGGAGGACAAGTGAGATGTCCTTGCTGTAATTACTCGCGTCCTATACCAAGTCTTAAAGCTCTGCTCTGTGGTGGATGTAATGTGACACTCATATATCGAAAAGATGATCGAGCTGTGAAGTGTTCTCACTGCAAACACATCTCAGATCCACATGTAAAGTCTCTGTTTTTCTCTTATCATTTTGCAACTCTTTCGAATTCCCCTAATGTTGTTGCTTTTTGGTTTAGGATCCTCAATTGAACCGGATTGTTCATCCTCAAGTGAACTTGATTGTTCATCCTCAAGTGAACCGGGTTGGTAATCCTCAAGTGAACCGGGTTGGTCATCCTCAAGTGAACTGTATTCTTCATCCTCAAGTGAACCGGGTTGTTCATCCTCAAGTGAACCGGGTTGGTCATCCTCAAGTGAACCGTGTTGGTCATCCTCAAGTGATCCGGGTTGGTCATCCTCAAGTGAACCGGGTTGGTCATCCTCAAGTGAACTGTATTCTTCATCCTCAAGTGAACCGGGTTGTTCCCCGTCATGTTAACCGGTGGGTTATTCATCCTCAATTCAACCGGGTTGTTCCTCATGTCAACCGGATGAATCGTTCCGCAACTGCAGAAACTGAATCGACTGCGAGTTCTTCTTTTGTTGTGAGTAATGTTATCAGTATATCTATTTCTTACAATGTACTAGGATCTTGCTTTATTATATCTAACGCTTATGCATACCCTTTTTGCAGCCAAACCCTGCTGATTCAGTTGCTCAATATGTAATCACCTAGCGTTACTTTATTTTTGTGGTTCGATTCGATATAACAATAAAAAAAACGCATTTTTGTAAACTACATTGTGCTTTTTGGTGTTTTTATTTGTCAGGTGAGAAATGTTGTTGCCCGTGGAAGCGGAACAATCAAGAGAGAAGCAGAAGAAGACAAGACAGAAGCAAAAAGCAAGAAGATTCGTTTCTGACTGATTGATCAAACTCAAAAGTACTGTGTACTTACACAATTGATCTCCTCTTTCTCTCTGCAAATTTGCTTTTTTTTTTTTGTTTCTTTTAATTTTCCTCATTGTTTCTTTCCCGGCCTATTTACTTTTTTGCAGTATTTTTTTAGTGCTTTTCTGTAGTCAAAACTTATGATATTATCCAATTTTGATATTTACCATTTGTGTACTTTTCTGATCTATTTGAAAGTAATAGTTTAGAAAAAGAAGAAATATTAAATTATGGGGGTTGAAACTAGAAAGGTGAGATTTGAATTAAAACGGCAGCGTTTTTGAGTTATCAAAAACCGGAAACGGTCAAACTCTTTACTTTTCCGACGCGGAGAGAAGAAAGAAACATAAACCCAAAGATGACGACGACGACGACGATGACACGGAAGAAGAAAAGAATGGCATAGAACCGTAAATAGATAGAAAGCTCGAGGGTAATCTAGGAAACATACATCAAGATTAAATCGTACGGTACCGTGTTGGCTTTTGTGATTCTTCCGCTGATCCGTTAAAAACTGAGTGAGCGTTTTCTTTGGCGGGTGTTCTCCAGTTTCCTCGTTTTCCCCAGAAACTACTCCAAATCATTTTCTTGTCTTTCTCTGTCTGATCTCCAAATCATTTTTTTATTCAATTGTTACAATTAATAATAATTAATCAGTTCGATTTTTCACTTTTATTTTATAAATTGGAAATTCGATAGAAAAAAGAAGATTCGTGATATAAGACAAAATCGCAAAGAATCTCAGCCGTTCGTTTGAGGAGGTTCATCTCTTTTCGACTTTCCTTTTTTTTTTTGGTAACTAGTTAATTAAAAATTTAAAATATTAAAGTTGAGGTTCCTTTTCCTGGTTAAGTTCGGTTTGTTTTTGTTTTTTTCTGTGTTCCTTCGTATTCGTTACTAGGTCAAAATTAAATCCCTTTTTATTTTTATTTTTTCCCAGATTTGGGTATTTCTGTTTTTAACTGCGAATTCAATTTCTAAGCTTAATTGGGGAAAAAAGGAAAAAACTTTGAAGCATTCTCGTTTATATCAGGTAAACAAATCCTGCAAATAAATGTTTATAATTTCGTATGAAATTCTCAAAAACTCGTGTTATTGTGATTGATTTCTGGACTTTGATCTTCTACTGTTGTTGATCCCCTAAAATTCAATTAGGGTTAGGGATTAAAACTTCTCTGAATTGATAATCGTTTTGGATTATTTGTATTTTAATAAACATCGTTTTCTTATCTTTTGAGTTTTTTTTTTCAGTTTCGTTGGCTCTCATCGAAGAAACCTAGCTTCCAGAAATTTGCTTTGAGGATTGGTTTCAATCCATATGGAACAACTCAGTGTTACTCAACCAGAATCTGAGATCAAAGAGGTATTAGCTTTCGATGTTTAATTCGTATCTGAATGATAATTGAATCGATTAAACACGTTTAGATCAATGTTTTTGGTTCATTGTTTATCACTCAAAACCATAAACGTTAAAAATTAGCTGTTTCTATGATTTGTATTGAGTATATTTATTTTCGGATCTCGTTTGTTTACTTCATTTGGCAAACACCTAATCATATATAATAATAGATCATAGATCCTTTTTTGTGTCTTTTTTTGATTAGTTGATGTTGAATTCTAGATTTGTTTTGTCCTCTGTTCATCGTTTCTGATCTTGTAATACAGTTTCTAACAATTGTTATATGTGTTTTCTTCTTCTCCAGGATATGTCTCTGAAGAATCATCCTCCAGACAAGGACAAGGACAAGGACACTAACATGGAACCACCTACTAGTCCACGTCATCGAAAGGTAAGAGGAATCTATATGTAAATTGTAATCTGATGCATTCTTTAAAATCTTAAAAAAGACAACTTTGATCTTACATTAAGTTTTTGTGTATGGTCAAGGTTCTTGCTAGATGGTTACCAGCTGAAGCGCAGAGACCAATCGTTGATGATGCTCCGGTTTTCTCACCATCATTAGAGGTAACTAATACTAATTGCTTTCTTGTTTGAAATTTGAGATTTTTTTTTGTTTTTGGGTTTCTTCTTCATGTTTTGATTCTTGTGTTCATCAGGAGTTTGAAGATACGCTTGCTTATATAGAGAAGATACGTCCATTAGCAGAACCATATGGTATTTGTCGAATCATCCCACCACCGACATGGACTCCTCCTTGTCGGCTTAAGGAGAAGAGTATATGGGAGCACACAAAGTTCCCCACCCGGATTCAGAACGTGGACCTTCTTCAGAACCGTGAGCCCATGAAGAAGAAGCCCAAGAGCAAGAAACGTAAACGGAGAAGAAACTCGAAAATGGGTTCGTCTAGGAGACGAGCCGGCTCTTCTCCTTCTGAGCCTGCTTCGTCTCCAGAGCCCGAGGAGAAGTTCGGGTTTAACTCTGGCTCTGACTTCACTCTCGAAGAGTTTGAGAGATACGCTCTGCGTTTCAAAGACTCTTACTTTGAGAAGAATGATGCGAAATGGTCACCGTCTGTGGAGGAAATCGAAGGCGAATACTGGCGGATTGTGGAGCAACCGACAGACGAAGTAGAGGTAATGAAAAACAGAACCACTTTCGACATAGAAACACAGAACCGTATCTGTAGACCAAACTAAGACTAAGTTTCCTCTGTTTCTTGCTGTTTCTTGCAGGTATACTATGGAGCTGACTTGGAGAATGGGGTACTTGGAAGCGGGTTTTACAAAAGATCCGGTAGCGAGATGGATCAGTACACTGTTTCCGGCTGGAACTTGAACAACTTACCTCGTCTCCCTGGCTCTGTACTCTCTTTTGAGGATTGTGACATCTCTGGAGTTTTAGTCCCATGGCTCTATGTAGGAATGTGTTTTTCATCGTTTTGTTGGGTAAGTACACTTTCTTCACACACTCTTATGATTAACTTTTGGATTTTCATTCATTTTCCATGGTTTGATAATTTGTTTTTTTCTTGTTTAGCACGTGGAGGACCATCATCTATATTCACTGAACTTTCATCACTTTGGTGAGCCAAAAGTATGGTATGGTGTACCAGGAAGCAATGCAACCAAGCTCGAGAAGGCGATGAGGAAACATCTTCCTGATTTGTTTGATGAACAGCCTGATCTACTTCATGGCCTGGTTACTCAGTTCTCTCCTTCGATTCTGAAAGATGAAGGAGTAGAGGTTTATCGTGTGGTTCAGAACTCAGGGGAGTATGTACTGACGTTCCCGAGGGCGTACCACGCCGGTTTCAACTGCGGTTTCAACTGCGCAGAAGCGGTTAACGTAGCTCCGGTTGATTGGTTGGCTCATGGACAGAACGCTGTGGAACTGTACAGCAAAGAGACGAGGAAGACCTCTCTCTCTCACGACAAACTTCTTCTTGGAGCAGCTTATGAAGCCGTTAAGGCGCTCTCTGATTCTTTGGGGAAGGAAAACACAACAAACTTGAGATGGAAGAGTTTCTGTGGCAAGAAAGGAACACTTACTAAAGCGATACAGGTAAATGACAAGTCGGTCACTTCTATTGAGTCGTCATGATACTGAATGTTGTTTCTACTTTGTAAATGCTTAATTTGTTTTCTCAAATGTTTCATAGGCTCGGTTACGGATGGAAGAAGAAAGACTTGCGGATGTTGGTATGGATGCTTCGAGTTTGGTGAAGATGGAGAAGGACTTTGACTCAAACAGTGAAAGGGAGTGCTTCTCATGTTTCTACGATTTGCATCTCTCTGCTTCTGGCTGCAAATGCTCTCCAGAGGAATACGCGTGCCTTAAACACTCGGACGATCTTTGTTCATGCGAAGAGGAGAACCGGTTCGTTCTTCTCCGTTACACCATGGACGAGTTAAGCTCGTTGGTCAGAGCATTGGAAGGGGAATCTGATGATTTAAAGATATGGGCTTCCAAGGTGTTAGCCATTGAACAGTGTGATGATGAAGATGAGAGAAAGACTAGTCCTGTACTTATCAGCGTGGAGAAGAAGCTAAAGAAAAGTTCGTTTGATCTAAACATTGACTTAGAGTTGGATTGTCACGAAGACCTTAAAGAAGAAGCTAGCACCAGTGGAGAGTTAATTTCTTCAGAGAACTTTGGTGCATTGATAGAGCCTATAAACCTCGGTTTCTTGATTTTTGGAAAGCTTTGGTGCAATAAGCATGCTATATTCCCAAAAGGTACACAATCTTTGAAAAAACCCTTTTTAGTTCAAAAACTACTGACTTAATCAGAATCTTGATGTTTTTTTTGGGTTTTATTACAGGATTCACGAGTCGTGTCAAGTTCTACAACGTGCTTGATCCAACAAGAATGAGCAGTTACATCTCTGAGGTTTTGGATGCAGGACTCATGGGACCATTGTTCAGGGTAATAAAGCCTTTCCTCACGCACAACGTTTCTCTATTTGATGATGACTGATTCTTGAAAAGTAATAATAACATTTTGTCTTGCTCTCTCAGGTTACTCTTGAAGAATCTCCAGAGGAGAGCTTCTTCAATGTCTCGGCTCAACAATGCTGGGAAATGGTACTGCAGAGAGTTAAAGATACATCCACAAATGTTGGTCTTTCTACTTCACAGCGGTTTGAGAGTATCAACGGTCTTCAAATGTTTGGTTTTCTCTCGCCGTCTATAGTTGAGGCCATTGAAGCACTTGACCCGAACCATAGACTGGTCGAGTACTGGAACCACAAGAACCAAACTTCCTCCGAGTCCAAAGATCACTTCATTTCATCAAACTGCTCAGTGAGTTTAACCAAAGGAAAGCTTTTTGGAGTAGATTTGATGTAGAAGAAATGTTCAAGAGCCCAACAAGACAAAGACAGTGACTACCTTTTTAGATAGATCATAGAAGAAATTTCTTCTGATTCCTTTTTTTGGAGTAGGTTTGTTCAAAAATCTTTTGTTCTTTTTTTTTTTTTTTTTTGTTTCTGAGCAATTTTTCAGTGAACAAATAACCTAACCTTAGCGTTAGAAGTGTAAACTAGGAACAAAAAAAAGTTCAATTCTTTCGCTATTGCGTTCCTTTTAATAATACAAAATTTCTTTTAAACTCTAGAAAACTCACTTGTATTATAGCATTTATGTACAAAGTCTCACAGTATCATGAAAAAAAGAAACGAAAATTGAGTGTCGAAAATCTTGAAAGAAGAGAACTTGTAGGACTAAAAAGAGATAATACTTTCCCGCCATTTTTTTCTGTGGAGTCTTGACGGTTATACGCCGGGAAAATTCGCCGGAATGTGGAATCAGAACAACGCCAGAGCCAATGGAAGCAAGAACGAGCTTGTTGAGTAATGATGTACGATGGAAGCAGAAGCAGAGGTTTGATTGCTGTTGAATGCAGGAAGAGGAAGAGGACGATGACGAAGAAGATGATGTGACCGAGGACGGAGACTATCGGCTAAAGCAGTATCGCCGTTATCGAAATCGCCGTAACGAGAGAAATCAAGCGACGAAGCGATACCGTGAATTGCAACGGAAGAAGAGAGGAAAAGATCTGGTTCGGTGACGAGAACGCCGTCGAGGGTGAAATCGGAAACGGAATTGTTTGTGACGACGATTGAGTTTCCGCGGAGAAGAGTCGGAAGGCGAGAGAGAGGTTGCAAGAGGCGGAGATCGGCGAACGAGAGACGCTGAGGAACGATGTGGTAAGCGACGGAGAGACGACCGGCATTAGTAGAGTCGCCGTTGGAGGAGGAGACGTCGGCGGCGTCGAAATCGCTGGGGATGAAAATGGTGCCGGAGAGTGGGATTCCGAATTGGTCGTCGACGGCGGAGAGGAAATCGGCTGCCCAGTCGCGGAAATCGCCGGCCCCGATCATCGCTTCGATGATTCTGTCTGCGTGTTGGTGATCTTGCGGCGTCAGCGACTGAGGAGAAGCGGCGGGAGTGAGAAATGAGACGGTGGCGATGAGGAGGAGGAGAAGGAGATGGCTTGAGGTGGCCATCGGAGAATCAAATCGGCGGCGAAGTTGTTACAGAGAAGAGAGAGAGAGAGAGAGAGAAAATCAATCTTGGAGTCTTTTGAAGTTCGTTAGGATCTAACTGAATCACTCTCTGCTTAAATCATAACTTTGGAGGAAGGATGAGTCATACCGGTTTGGGTACAGAAAACTGGACAAACCGGGATCTTTCAAAAACCGAGTTTTTCTAGTATTTTTGTGTGGTTAGATGTTATTTGGCTTCGGTTTAGATAAATCACGGATGGTTAACGATTTTGTTTTACTGTCCTATAAAAGATAAACCTACCAAATAAACATAAAAAAAAGATAAACATAATAATATCAAATAAATCCTGAGAATGAGGAGCTCTTTTAATTTATACCACTTAATTATCCAATTCCAAACCGTACCAAACTCAAACTTTTTTTTTAGTTGAAACCGAGAGACAAAAGTCTCTCAAATGTTATTTATAACAGAAAGAAACTACAATCGAACATAGCGTACACTCGTAATCCCAGCCACATCTGCTACAACAACTGAACTCACACACTCTGGTGCTACATCTAAATAAAGAAAACCCAATGGTAATGCATAAGCATAAGTTGCCAAACTATCTGCTAGACAATTCGCCTCCCTATAGATATGTTTGATCTAAACTATCCAGTCTCTTGAAATAAAGCCATAGCACAAATATATTAAGAAAGACAGTGGATGTTGATCACTTATCCCTGTCGTCAAAAAGCCAACAACAATTTCCGAATCGATCTCAATCTCCAAACGAGTTATGCGCTGTTCCCAAACTATATATAGACCGTAATATACTCCCCATAGTTCAGGCAAAGGAACAGAACAAATACCTATATTCAGAGCAAATCCTCCTCGCCATTCTCCCTGTTCATCACGTAGTACTCCTCCCGCTGTTGCAAAGCCCGTGTCTCTCTGCACTGCACCATCCGTGTTCAGCTTAACCCACCCGTTAAGTGGCGGAACCCATGTTATCTCAATCTGTTCCCTCTGCTCATTAGTTGTATTCCCTCTTACCTTTGCATAGGCTGAGGTTACATCGTTCGCGAGCTCTTTTAGAAAACGAACTCTGTCGCGGCACACCCTCGTTGAACCAAAAACATATCCACACCGCCATTTCCATCCCCACCATACGGTCATGGCAAACACCGTAGCCCAATTACTACTCCTCAATACCTCTGTATCACCGAGATTTCCATAGATCCACTCGAACAGCGTCATGTTAAAGAAAATTTGCTGCTTTCTCAATGGGACTATACGTTGCCAGATTCTTGCCATTGCAGGGCAGTCCCGAAACACATGCATTATAGATTCCTCCCCTCCTCGGCACACCTGACAAACTCCCAAATCACTCAAATGTCGGCGTTGCCGTTCCATGTTAGTCATGATTACTTGATGGATCACTAGCAATAAGAACACTCTTACCCTCTCCGGTGCTATGACCTTCCAGATTCGAGTGAACAAAGACTCCATATTCTGCCTCGGTAAGTGATTCTTGGTCAATAAGGCGTATGCTGACTTCACTGTGAAGGTTTCATTCTGACTCCCACCCCATGATATTCTGTCTTTGATCCCCGTTATGTCATCTAGGACCACTGCCCTCAAACGTAGCTTTGTATCTGTACTCAGATAATTGTCTACCTGATGCAGTAACCAACCCGTCCCATTTCTCCAAAAATCCCAAACTCGTAGATGCACTATCTGTTTGGGAACTACTCCCTCTGCTATCTCCAGTAGCGGAATATCTAGGAGCCATTTATCTTTCCAGAAGTGAACTTGACGACCATCTCCCACAATCCAAGTCAAGCCTAACATTACTACATCTCTGATTCCTGTGATTATGCTCCGCCAAGTACTTGAAGCACCACCCTTCGCAGCAATCCAGGTATTCTCCTGCATCTCTACGACTTTGTATTTATGGCGCAATACTTGATCCCATAAGCTTGTTCTGTCTTGCAATAAGCGCCATCCTAACTTTGCAATGAGCGTTTTATTCATCGGTAAGGCTTGTCAGATTCCCAGTCTTCCCTCTGTCTTAGGTGAGCAAACCCTCTTCCACGATATCAAATGTTGCTTCCTCACTTCATCTGAACTCCCCCATAGAAATGATCTCAAGATTTTGTCTAACTTTGACAGTGTTGATTTCGGCAGAAGGATCGTACTCATCGTGTGAACTGGAAGCGATGATAGGACATATTTGGTAAGAGTCACTCGTCCAGCTAGGCTCAGAAAATGGCTCTTCCATCCTGCTAGTCTCGACGAGACTTTCTCCAGAACATCACCAAAGGTATCCTTATTGATCCTCCTTTGTAAAATTGGCATTCCGAGGTACTTTCCTAACTCCTGTGTGGCCTTAATTCCACTTTCATTACTGATTAAACTGCCTAGCTCCCGAGTGACATTCTTAGAGAAGAATATCTTTGATTTCTCCAAGCTCACTTTCTGACCCGAAGCTGTGCAAAACCTCTCCAGGATATGTCGTATAATCCGAATCTGTGAGACAGAAGCTTCTGCAAATAAAATCAGATCATCTGCAAAACAGATATGAGAGAGTTTCGGTCCTCCCCGAGAAACACTGATTGGCTTCCACTCCTTCTGTGCGACTGAAGACTCAGTCAGGTGACACAATCTTTCTAAGCACAGAACAAATAGGTACGGAGACAGCGGATCCCCCTGCCTAAGGCTCCGTTAGGGTTTAAATGGTTCCGTCTTTTCTCCATTCCATAATAGACACATAGAGGGTCCTCCCACACACTCCATAATCCACCCTATCCAAGCCTCAGGGAGGCCAGCTGCTCTGAGAGTGTCTTCCAAAAAGTCCCATCGAATCTTGTCATAAGCTTTCTCAAGATCAAGTTTCAACAGCATCCAACCCTTTCGTCCTTTCTTTCTACGCATCGAATGTACTACTTCCTGGACGATCACGATGTTATCTGAGCTAAGCCTACCCGGAATAAAGCTTGACTGTGCGGGCCCAACTAGTTTTGGTATCACTTTCTTGAGACGCAACACCATGGACTTCGTGATGACTTTAAACAGTACATTACACAGACTAATGGGTCTGAACTGTGTAATCTTCTCTGGCTTCATGACTTTTGCTATCAACACAACTAGTGCATCATTTGTTCCACTCGGAAGACAACCCGAAGCGAAGAAGTCTAGGACAAAACAGATCACCGACTCCCCTACTATCTCCCAGCAATCTTGGTAGAATACCGGTTGGTATCCGTCAGAGCCTGGTGCTTTAAGCTTACTCATATTACGTATAGAAGTCTCAATTTCCGTAGCTGAGAATGGTTTATTCAGTTCTCGCACTTCTTCTTCCGATAAGCCTGCAAAGCCTTCATGCGGTAAAGTTGGTACTATTTGATCCACATCGTCCATTGAGTACAGTCGTGAGTAATAATCCAGGGCCAAGCTTTCCAGTTCGTGAGGCTGGGAGACCCATCTCCCATCGTCTCCATTTAACATCTCAATCCTGTTTCTCCTTCTTCTGACCACCGTTAAAGTATGAAAATACTTTGTATTTCTATCCCCTAGCGCCACCAACTTCTCGCGTGACTTCTGAAACCAAATGATCTCTTCTTGTTCCAGCACATATTCAAACTCCTTAATCAGAGTTGCCTCTCTATTCAGCATGACATCCGTTTGGCTCACATCTAGTAATTCTTGAATCTCCTGAATTTCTTTGATCAATTTCTCCTTGCGTTGCTGTACAACCCCAAACACTTCCTTATTCCATCGCCTTAGTGTCTCTCTCAACAACCTTAGAGCTTCTGGTATTGTAAGGCTTCCATTCCAGGAAGTGAGCTACAACTCTTTGAATCCATGATGTTTCAGCCAAACAGCTTCAAAGCGAAAGGGTCTCCTCCTCGGATCACCTCTTACAGTGGGTTCAAGCTGCAAGTATAGGGGAGCATGATCCGATGACAGGAAGGGTAAGTGTGTAACCGAAGCCTCCTGCCACCTCAAACGCGCGTGTGGAGAGCATAAGATTCTATCCAACCTCTTCACGACATAGTTATTCTCCACTCGTCCTCGCTTCCAGGTGAATGTATTCCCTCTGAATCCCATATCTATGAGAGAAAGTTCGTTCATCCATTCTCCGAAAGCTAACGAATCTCCTGAGAGTGTGCCATTCCCTCTTGTTCGTTCATCAGTCCGCAATATCGTATTAAAATCTCCTCCAACAAGTAGCGGGCCTTCTATCCCCTGGATGATATCCTTAAGCTGGTTCCACAGTCCACTTCTTATACTTACTGTCGGAGCCGCGTACACAACAATTAGGTGAACAGTTTCCACCCCGATGCCCACCGTAGCGTAAATAAACTGGTCTGACGATGAGATGACTATGAAATCCCCAATCTCTGATCGCCAAAGTATCCACAAGCCTCCACTTTGTCCAATGGCATCAACTCGGAATGAATTTTCAAAGCCTAATCCCTGACAAATTCGCATCGCTCTATCACCTCCCGCATGCGTTTTGAAAATAGCCAGCACGTCTGTTCTGTACTTCTTCAGGATGTACCTTATCGATCTTCGAAAGTTCGGTTTGTTAGCCCCCCCGGCAATTCCACAATAAGCAATTCATCATAAAATCTTTCACCCAGACCAAAGAACTACCAGGGCGACCGGTCAGGCTGTTTCGGAGCCATCTTGCTCCTTCTCCAGGCTCGAAACTCCGCCTATTTCTTCCCGCATACATTCAGACTCCGAGACAAACGAGGAGCTCTCCTCTTCCTCCTCTTGTAATTGCATAGAATTATCAATTCCCAAGTTTCCCTCCGAATCATTTCTGAACACTCCTCCAGGGCGACCTAGCTCCACCGTTTCCACCCTTAGTCTTTTTCCCGATACGGAGAGGTCGAGTTCCCCCCTTGTTGGGCCAAACACCAACCCTCTCATGGGCCTGGTTACTGTCGGCTTATTCTTCGATTTTATTATACCAATGGGCCTGCGGGTACCCAAATTCTTTTCTAATGGCCCACTGTGAAATTCCCGCGTTGCACTCGTCTCCCTTCCTGTCCCTGTTTTATCCTTTACTTGCTCCACACTTCTCGATATTCTCCGTATATTCTCCGGACTTTCATTTTCCTTATTCGCCTCTCGTCTAACCTCATCTTCCCTCACATCCGAGATATCCTCTTCCTCTTCCAGATTCTCAAATCTGTTAGAGATATCGATATTTCCAGATCCCCCGATTCTCGGGATTGCCCTAAGA